AGGGGGGGCCCCGGGGCTGGGCTGCCAGGGGGCTGGGGGAGGGGGACACCCTAATCCCCTCCGTTCCCTTTCCCTCCAGGCTTTTGCATTAAGACCCACACGGGTTCGCAGGAGAAGGTGTTTGTGAACATCTGCCGGTCGATGCACATCCCGCCGCCCCCCGACCTCAGCCGCCAGGAACTGGAGTGTCTGATCGAGTCAGGGGGGGCCCCGGGGCTGGGCTGCCAGGGGGCTGGGGGAGGGGGACACCCTAATCCCCTCCGTTCCCTTTCCCTCCAGGCTTTTGCATTAAGACCCACACGGGTTCGCAGGAGAAGGTGTTTGTGAACATCTGCCGGTCGATGCACATCCCGCCGCCCCCCGACCTCAGCCGCCAGGAACTGGAGTGTCTGATCGAGTCGGACAGCGCCTCGTCCTTCCGCATCCCCATGAGCCTGGGGGAGCCCCATGCCGAGCTGGACAACAGTGAGCACCCCCCCATGACCCTTGACCGCTGGCTCCCCAGCATGCAAACACACTAATGTCTGTGACCCCTGGCCCACAGCAAGGACCCTTCTCCCTTTCCTCTCTAGGGGGCACCAGGGCAGGGACTGACTGGCTCAGGGGATGGGGAGTGGGTCACCGGGCCTTTCCCCTCTTGGGTGCGCCAGCTCCCATGCAATCCCAGAGTAGGGGGCGGGCTCAGGGGGCGGGGGCCTGTCCTTTCTGTGGGACTCTGGCCCTGATTCGATCCCGGCGCTCAGGGGTATTCTGGGTCTGATGTGGGGGGGAGGGGGTTCAGAGGCTGCCTGCTAGGCTGAGCTTTTGCAGTCATTCTGCATTGCAGGTGGGAACGGCTGCACCACCTACGACGTCGTCATCAACCAGAGTAGGGGGCGGGCTCAGGGGGCGGGGGCCTGTCCTTTCTGTGGGACTCTGGCCCTGATTCGATCCCGGCGCTCAGGGGTATTCTGGGTCTGATGTGGGGGGGAGGGGGTTCAGAGGCTGCCTGCTAGGCTGAGCTTTTGCAGTCATTCTGCATTGCAGGTGGGAACGGCTGCACCACCTACGACGTCGTCATCAACTCCGGCTTCTTCGCCAAACTGGAGGTGAGCGCCCCCTGCGGGGCCGGGGTATCTCACAGCCTCGTGAGCCCCACAGCTGGGGGTTCTGCCAGATTCAGGAGCGGGGGTGGAGGGTGTTAATGTGTGTGGGACTTGGGGGGATAGAGACCTAAAGGGACCCTCAGGCTGAATCCGCCCATCCTCTCTGTGCCAGGCGGATCCCTTCTTCAAAGAGTTCTTCATCACTGTCGCCTTGGAGGGGCTGGCAGACAAGTACAATATGGACATCAATCACCCAGGTACTGTCCAGCTCAAGGCTGGGGGTACTTTGGGGCTGTAGGCCGGGCGTGAGGGGCACCCGTAGGGCTGGAGGGGGAGAGCTGGGCTGGCAAGGGCTGCGGATTGGGAGTGAGGGGCACCCAGCGGGGGAGGGAGGGGGCGGCATGGCTGGGCTGGCAGGGGCTGCGGGTCAGGAGTGAGGGGCACTGTCAGGGCGAGGGGGGACACAGGGCTGGGCTGTCAGGGGCTGTGGGTCAGGAATGAAGGGCACCAGTAGGGCTGGGGGCGGTGGGGAGCTATTACTTCCCATCTGTCCCCTCCCCATTAATCCCTTCCCTGCCACTGCGCAGAATGGCGAATGCTGAAGAACCGTAAGTTTATGGGCTCCGTCTCTGAACAGACCATCCGCACCAAGTCCAGCCCCGTCATACAGGAGATGGATGTCAGGTGAGTGGATTGGCGGGTATCTGATTTACACACACCCCATTTTAGAAGGATGCTAGACTCTGCCCCATGTATGTCTGGTGCTAGCGGATGCTGTGACACCTCCTATCCCCCACACTCCAGCTGCTGTTCTGATTGCTGCTTGGGAAATCCAGTGGCAAAGAGTTCCACTGGCTCTGCATGAATTGAAATAAATGTCAGTGTGTTTGAATCCCTTAGTCCTGCCCTTTCTCATTCCCCCCGTCTTATCCTCAGGAGTGCAGTGGGTTCTCCCCCATTGGCCATGCACTCGGCGGGGTGGGAAATACAGCTGATCCAAGCCGATCGAGCCCAGATGCCTTGGGGCATGTCTACACAGCAGGGCAAAAGTCGAATTAAGCTGCTCAGCTTCAGCTCCGTCGATTGCGTCGCTGAAGTCGAAATAGCTTAATCTGGCTTTGGGCGCTGTCTCCACAGCCGGAAGTGGAAGGAAGAACGCTTTTCCTTCCATTTCCTGTACTCCTTGTGACATGAGGGTTACCGGAGTCGGAGTAAAACATCCTGCTCGCCAGGATTCTGAAATCACAGCTTGCTGTGTAGACGCGCCCAAAATGTGTTAATTCGGAATTACGTCAGTTACGCCGACATACCGCTGCTGTGTAGACGGAGTCGGGGGAGCATGTAACCGGGGGTATCTTGTCACCTAGGGCCTGCCTACCCTAGGAAATAACTTATTTTGAAATAACTCCCGAAATAACTCTTTCGAGAGCGTGCGTCCACGCTTCAGGGAAGCCTTGGAACGAGTCCCAGGCAGGCTCCTGGAACGTGGATGTGTTCCCTCGACTTAGAGCCCCAGGAAGCACCAGAGCGTGATCACTTTGAGTGAGTCTGGGGGGTCGTTCTTTCGAAATAGTAGCAGCGGAGCGAAAGCAGCGTCGTTCCTCGCGGGAAGCGGGCGGCCGTCCTTTCGCACTCACAGGCTTGGCAGTGCGGACGTGCCACGTGTCGGTTCGAAATAACTCCCTAGTGGAGACCAGAGGGGCTAGGAAGGACTTTGGGGCCCCCCCGGGAAACCCAGCGTCCCAGCAGTGCGACAGAGTCAGGCCTGGGGGCTGCAGGCAGTGGGGTGGGAAGGTTGAGGTGATGATATAAGGTGGTCTGGGGGGCTGCAGAATAGGAGTCAGACTGGCGTGACTGCAAGAGCTTGGTTGAAATGGAGCCCTGGCTGGGGGAGGGGGCTGTGGGTGCGGGAGGGGCTGGGAAAGCTCCCCCCCCCCATAAGAGAAGCAGATGGGGAAGCGCAGGCCCAGACGTGTCCTGTGTGTGTCTGTAGCAGCGACAATAGCGGAGAGACCCACAGGGACACTTGGGGGGGCTGGGGCTGAAGCCAGGCCAGGGGACAAAGGAGGAATATTGGGGGACAAGCAGGAATTATTACTGTGCTGAAATCCCCTCCCCCACATAGCCCCTTCCTCTGCCACTCCCCCGCTGCCCTGCAGAGCCCTCTCCCCCTGCTGGGGGGCCCCCCCCTCCTGGCGTGGCCCCCCTAGGGCTGTGCTGGCTGTTGCTGAGGAGCTGTTGGGGGGTGCTCAGCCCTGCTCCCCCTCTGAGCACCTGCTCTCCCCACCCCTGTTTCTTTCTGCAGCTCCCCCGTGGTCCCCAAATTCACCATCCTGGCGGAGCCGGCGGGGAGGCCCCCCGAGTTCCTGCTGGCTGAGATCCACCTGCCCAGGGTGGTGAGTTCTGCAGAGGGGAGCTCCTGGCAGCTCCAGCCTGGGTCTGTGGCAGCAGGGAGGTGTGGGCGGCCGTGGGGCAGGTCTCTCTGAATGAGGGGCACGGTGGGGTGCAGCAGGGGCTCTGGCCATAGGGCGGGTCTGTCCCACTGGAGCATGCTGTGGGGCGGGTCCGTTCCAGTGGGGGGTGCCGGCCGTAGGGTGGGTCTGTTCCAGCAGAGGGTGATGTGGGGCAAAGGGTGATGTGGGGCAAAGGGTGCTAGCCGTGGGGCAGGCCTGTCTCTCTAGGGGGCCCTGTGGGGCAGGAGGTGCCAGCCAGC